AAAAAAAAAAAAAAACGGCTCCAGAGGCATCCTCGCAGTTACAGACCAGTAAGCCTAACTTCAATACCAGACAAATAATTGGTTGAAATTATAATAAAGAACAGAATTATCAGAATGACAGACAAACATGTTCCATGGTGGCAGAGTCAGTGCAGCTCTTGTAAAAGGAAGAAAAATCACACCCCACCAGTCTATTAGAATTCTTTAGGGCAGTCAACAAGCAGGTGGACAAAGGTGAGCCAGTTGATACAGCATACTTGGCCTTTCAGAAGCCTTTGACACCAAACATTCTTAGCAAACTAATCAGTCATGGGATAAGAGGGAAAGTCATCTCATGGATCAGTAACTGGTTAAAAGATGGGAAACAAAGGGTAGGAATAAATTGTCAGTTTTCAGAATGGAGAGAGATAAATAGCAGGGACTCCCAAGGATCTGTATTGGGACCAGTGCGGTTCAACCTATTCATAAATGATCTGGAAAAGGGAGTAATCAGTGAGGTAGCAAAGTTTGAAGAGGATACAAAATTACTCAAGATACTTAAGTCCAAAGCTGACTGTGAAGAGTTACAAAGGGATCTCACTAAACTAGGTAGGCAACAAAATGGCAGATGAAATTCTGTGTTGATAAGTGCCAAGTAATGCACCTGGGAAAACACATTCCCAACTATACAAATGATGAGATCTAAATTATCGTTTATCACTCAAGAAAGATATCTTGGAGTCATCATGAGCAGATGTTTTCAAGGAACTATCCAATGTGCAGCACCAGTGAAAAAAGCCAAAAGAATGTAGGAAAGAGATAGCTAGTAAGACAGAAAATATCATAATGCCATTACATGAATCTCTGGTGTGCCCACACCTTAAATACTGCACACAGTTCTGGTCACCCCATCTCAAAAATGAATATTACAACTGGAGAAGGCTCAGAGAAGGACAACATTGATTAGAGGTATGGAACAGCTCCCATATGAGGAGAGATTAATCAGATTTGGACTTTTCAGCCTAGAAAAGAGACCACTAAGGAGGATATGACAGAGGTTTATAAAATCATAAATAGTGTGGAGAAAAAAATGTTATTTACCCCTTCATGTAACCCAAGAACCATGGGTCACCAAATTAAATTAATAGGCAGCAGATT